AAGCTAAAAGAAGTTTTATCGCTAATATCTAAGAAAAAAAGGACCGAATTATCAGAAACAACTACATTGTTTATGATCGATTTACCCTATTCGTCAATACTACATGTTTCTTAACGTCTTCAAGAAATCCTTAACTTGAGGAAATCAAGAATGAGAAGTTCACATAAAGTTACAACTCAGTATTAACACACGCAACATATCACACCTTAACAACAACATTTCACTAGAATAAGGTCAGCATTCCGTCTAACCTCACAAAACAGATAACAGCTAGTCTATAGTTGTTATTTTCAGCTTCAGAGCCGGTCTTTCAATAAATTCTCTTCAGGTTCTACAATTATAAAATGCATTTGTACAGCGTGAAATCAAGCCACATTAAGGGCAATTACATTTTCAAAATGGAGTGAGATTTAGGGATTGTAAGGAAAACGATTTTTCTTTTTCACATTTGTCGATATTGGAATGATACATAAGCAGATAAGTGATATGATAGTGAACTAAAAACGATAACGAATAAAGAAGGCAGGAATAGCCTTCAGTTTACTGAGTACTGAGGGACAAGTAACGCTTGGACATGTTCTTTATGAATTCACAGTTCAAGTTTGATCAATCTTATTGCGATAGCCTCCGCTATGTTGAGCAGGCGTTGATGAGCTATACATGGTATGGTTTTTGAAATTCGACAGATGACACTGAAAGATTTATTAGCATCTACGTGATGGACCCGTGTCTACTAGGTGTCAAACCGAGTTGGTAAAACTTCTCGTATCCGCAAACTCACCTGCCTAATCGTTCTTCCTATGTAACTAGTTCCACAAGAATAGTTTAACTGATATATGCAAGATGAAGAGCTAAGATTAGGATTAAGCATTGGCCGACTACTGAATGATATACAAAGTCGACCGGCATAAAACATCCTATCGCAATAAGATTGATCAAACTTGAACTGTGAATTCATAAAGAACATGTCCAAGCGTTACTTGTCCCTCAGTACTCAGTAAACTGAAGGCTATTCCTGCCTTCTTTATTCGTTATCGTTTTTAGTTCACTATCATATCACTTATCTGCTTATGTATCATTCCAATATCGAAAAGTGTAAAAAAGAAAAATCGGTTTCCTTACAATCCCTAAATCTCACTCCATTTTGAAAATGTAATTGCCCTTAATGTGGCTTGATTTCACGCTGTACAAATGCATTTTATAATTGTAGAACCTGAAGAGAATTTATTGAAAGAATATTGTTTATTCAGGCTGTTGGTTTTTATCAATGTTATTGGAATCTCTGGTTGTTTGAAATCTTACAATTACCCAAAGGTTACTTTGCTGATTTCAGGCTGGTAAACATCACGAACTGATATCAGTTTGAGAATCATTGAAAATCTGGGAGCACTGAACAGCCCTTTCGTCCTAGTGGCGACACAGATGAGAACGTCAAGGCCAAGATAGGAAAGGCAAGACAGGCATTCATTAACCTGAAGTCAATGTGCAGATCTAATACACTGCACTGCACTCAGCATAAAGAACAAGATCCGGATTTCTAACATTAGTGTCAATGTAAAAGTGCATATCAAAGTGTAAATTATCAGTCAAAACTTGATAGACTGACATCACGTCTTAATCTAGTTGAACTTAGGGTTTTTTCTAACCAACTGTGTTTTATCAAGACTCATAAAGCTGTACCACTTGTTATTGCAGTAAACTGCCTTATAAAATATGCTGATTTTAAATTTTCATAGTACAAATTGTAAGCGAAACATGTGCAGTTGTTGCAACGTGTATTCGATAATCGTAAATTTTGCAGACCATGTTTTTCCTTAGAATCAGATTTACTGTCATTTCATATACATACATGCACAAACACACGCTTATCATCATGATTATAGCAATAATAGTAACATAATAAGGTATGTGACCATTATAATCGACAGGATAACTCCTAATTCATAAACTATATGTTAGTTGTGAATTGATCAGCATATTACTATGGTGTGGAAATGTTTGTTTGGGCGTATTTATGTGCTAGTAACAACAAATCATGGTGTATTTTTAATTAAATTTTATGTAAGGTAGTATTCATCACAGACTGACATCGCTTGGAGAGCTGCTGAAAAACTGGGAGCACTGGACGACTGTTTCTTCCTAGTGTGGGACTCGTCAGCAGTACACAGCCACAACCTCACCAGGGATCGAACCCAGTACCTCTAGGTTTCGTGGCGAGCTCGTTACCAGTTAATCAGTGGTTCAGAATCCAATAGTTCATATTTTCCTACTTCTGTCAATTCACGACATAGTGCTATCTTCATATAATCCCCATCTTTGAGTATTTATCCTCACGTCCGACTTAGTTCACCCTATTGGTCATGAATTCTCATTGGGACGTGTCTCAGCGACAACTTAGTCACCGTGAAACCTGGGGGCCTTGGGCTTGACTACTGACTAGGTTGTGTAAGCGTTCTACTGAGGAGTCCCATACTGCTAGAACGAAACAGCAGCTCAGGACTCCAAGGGTTTTACTAGTTCTCCAACTGATGTCAGCCCATAGTGAATTCCAACTTGAAATAAATGATTTTGTAAGAGGAGCATGGAATAACGAACATTAATTAACTGTCCTTGATGGTTACTGTGAAATTGTCATTTCTACATTAATAAATTAGGGATGGAAACGAAGCTTATCAACCCAGTTCCATCGGAATACTATGAAAGAAGTTCTGATCGAACGTCTTTTTTAATAAGTAGAAAAATCTAATCACTCATATTTCATTCTTTAGATTATTGTAGTAACCTGTAGTATATAAAGCAGCTGGTTAAGAAACAATTTATCTTCAGTGTTACTTACAAGTTCCCGCCAACCTCCCTTCCTCCCTGAAAGTTATCATTATACATGGTGGTCCAAAGCCTACCATTCGGAATACAAACAGACAACTTTTGTCTTACAAATATGCAATTGGATAATTTAAGTCACCGACTAGTCTTTTGTAGAGTTTTAACTAAATTATTCCGACTAACCTTGGTTATTTTTGAAAAGTAACGTCGTGGGGTGTAAATGTAGGAAAACATAATGAAGCTGTTTGATGAAATGAATTGATTAGAGTGGAATGGGTATGTTAAATGCCTTACAAAGTAGTAAGGTAGTCTACCAATCAGTCAGCATCATACATAATCTCAACACGTTAAGAAGTACTTACTTCTTGAGCATCTTTTTTCCTAATAGATTACTGTAATGACTGTTTTCCACTCTTCTAACAAATTGAATAGTTCAGTAAACATTTTACACTACCAGATTCCATTGGCAAGTTGTTATGCCTTTCGAGTTTATGGGATTTTCGTTTTGATTGTTTACAGGCAGTTGGATGAAATTATCCTAGTCCATCTTGAGTTCGATTTGTCTGGGGTTTTGATTACATCAAACACTTATGTTAATCTATCACTCCTTATTGGTAGTCAGCACCAAAATGTACGAGACAGAAATGAAGGACTGAATTGATTATCCGATCATAGGCATTCGTTGCATTTATCTGCCAAATATGATCTATGCTATGTATATGAGAAGTGCGATTCATCACTAAGTTAGAGTATTTTTCTAATTGAAGGGATTGGTATATTTCCTCTGGGTGGTATAATTGATTTGTTTTGTCTTTCCTTTGCGTTTACGATCTGCAAGGTGGTAGAGATAAATGAGTAAGGATTTCCTTTATTTTTAATTGTTAATTTCTAGTTGTATTAATTGTGCTTTGTGAATGCTTTTCGCAAAGATTGAAGCATTGCTATCAACTCCTTTAGTAGCTATATATGGAAGAAAATATTCCCCAAAAGTTTCATTCCACGGACAGTGTTTATAACATCTATTGTTTTTTTTCCTATTCAGTTAGTGTTTATCCGAAAATTAATCCACATTCAATGTTGGTCAGTAGGTCAAATCACTGGAAATCGATTGTGATATCGCTTTTTTCAAGGTGGTTTTGATAAGGAATTAACATCAACCAGAAAATTATTGATAACCAGGGGGCAATAGATAGGTGATCCATCATAAATCTGAACTTTTAGGCACCCCATGTAGGAACAAGCTTGAGTGGTACCATTGTAAATCATAGTGAGCAGGTTGACAATAAGCCACTAAATTGTAATTCGAGTGATCACAGTTTCTAACCAGTATATAGATCAAACAATTAGTTTGGAAATGACTTTAAAGGCCACTCTAGCAACTGCTTAAGTAACCAATCAAGTTTCAGTATCTCGTCTGATAAGGTAGTTTTTTATAAAATAGGGAAGCCTAATTGGTTATTTCAACAGTTGCTGCGGTGGCCTTTAAAGTTACCCTTAGAGTTGCCCCATTTGTTTATCTTTGTTCTCGTTGACATAATGGTTAGAGGGACTTTAAAGATCACCTTAACGACTGCTGAGATAACCAATTACGTTCCTTTATCCTATGAAAAACTACCTTCGCAGCCGAAATTCCGAAATCTGACCGTCAGAGTGGTGTCTAAATCATTCTTCGTGATTAGGCCGCCTACGCTTCTAGGCCTTAGACATTTACATGTATCTTATATATGTTTGGATCTTCTGTCTAAATGCATGATCCACACATCTCAGTGCATCTTTACTAATTTATCTGGTCGGAAGATTAAGTAGGAAGTTGTAAAACATTAGTGTCTGGTAGTCGATGTTCGTGCATCATCTAGCTGCTATAAAAATTGGTGTGTTTGCGGACGGCTACGAACATCAATAAATTAGGAACCATAATGCTGACTTAGTCATCTTGCGATATAGCCTGATTGTTCTACTGTGTCATTGATTTGCCTCTATCCTTAGTCTTCTCACTCGATTGACTTTATGAGTTACTGATTTGGATTAGAACTACATAAAAACCGTCTCGCAGTCAATCATAAATGAGCGCCATGTTTTTATTCAATCAGATGCTCTTAAATGCTTTTCAATTTATCCTGTTCATCGGTTGTTTGCGGTAATCCTTTGTTGTTATTGATGCATTTTTAATTTTACAGTTAGACGAGGTGACTCACTTGTTACAGCAGAAGAACGTCCATCATCAAATGTTACTCAGGTATTAGTGGCTAAATTCCAGGGTTTAGAAGCTGCAAATAACATGACCAGTTCAACACAAAATCAGGTAATCATACAATTCAAGCCTACATTTTTGTCCTCATTGTGATTTCAATGCAAAGTTTTGATTTGATTAGAATAAGTAAACTAGAGGAAGAAAGTATAATGATATTGTTACTAGTAGCTCAGTTAATTGTGTTAGTCCAAGTCTGTACAGAGGTAAGGGTGAGATGAAAATATTGTCAAATTTACTGATCGTGAATTACGACTCACTCACTCATATTGTTCACAGAAACTTAACTTAGTTTTCGCGCCTAATTAATTCTAATCAGTGAGGTGGGTGTCAGTATAGGTCATAAAGCTGGATTTCAATGGTCTTTGTAAACATTCATCTTCTGTAATATACTTACAAAATTATCCCGGTCTACATGATATACTTCAATATCTGTTCATTCATATAACATATTTCTGAATGGGAAAATGAATGTTTCCTTCTCTACTTTGCAAATATTGATGAGAATGTTTTCTATTCTCATATGTAATGCTTTTTCAAACACACACACACATGTTGGAGTCACATTATTTCTGTTGAGGAAGTAGTGCGCAAATGAAACTACGCTAATATTCACTAGTTTTATAAACAGTTTCATCTGAAAAAATGTAATCAGAAATCAAGCAGCACCGTTCAACAGTTTCTTATTACTTATTTCGAGCTCCTATAAAGTTCACAATTTCTACAATTGAAGCAAACTTTGTTACCTTTTAGCTTGTAGATTCTTAACTTCAGTCAACTCATAATGTTTGTGACGCGGGGGTTGTTGTTCTTTATTCATGAATGATCGTCCATCAGTTCCGTTCTGAATTATTATTATTATTTGGTATAGTTAATCTAGTGACTGAAAAAAAGCATTTGTTCCAGTGATTAAGCGTTGTAGTAGGCGTTTTTAGTTTCAGTTCCATACATAGAAATTTTATTAACTGATAAATTAAACGTAGAACCTCTCACACAAGTGCATCAGCTCAAGTCACAACTCTTCACAGTGGTATACGAAGAACAGATGGATGGAATAGGAGTGATATCAAAGTGTGAGAGAATAAACAATCTGAAGATTAAGGTTAGTGCAAATATTCAAGCTTTAGAAAATGTCAGTGAGTGAAGACATCTGCTCCATGGTGACTGGTTTTTAACGAAGTCACCAAGAGTTCTCAACCACTAATTTCTTTCGTCTTGGGGAACCCGACTAGGCAGTCTACATCTCCGCCACACGGTTCAGACCAACAGTAAGAGACTTCATCGACTGATGCCAGGTCTCTGTCTGGCCACCCTGAACCATCTTCCAACCTAATCCAACTTCTCCTAGCATGGGATGTTGAGGTAGGCGGTGGATCGGCATGCACAGTGCATATCCTAACCATCTTAGTCAACTAAGGTTCATAGCTTCATCAGTCGACTTGCCTGTCTCTTCTTCGTCTGACCTCAACACTGCTCACATGGTGAAGAAGAATATGCAATCCGCGATATTATACCGTATTTGTTGGTCATATTTCACACTGTATCATTGCTGAATACAGTATCTATATAATCTTACAGTACAGAAATATATCAGGATTGAAGATAAATGGAAAGAGGTCCCTGGTTTTTCCAATAAAATTACTTTTCTTAGTGGCCAAGCTAAATGGGGGTTAAAGGTTTTATTCTCATTTCATTGGGTTTGTAGAAAATTTACAAGTCTATTGAAACTACTTCACCTTTCTATTTCCATTCCCACTTTGATTTCAAATTAACATTTTTTTTCATTTTCTTATCCATAAATAAATCCTCATTAATGTGTGCGTCATACATCATCAACGAAGCTCTCGCGTATTGTCCTCAATAGTAATTCCCATTCAGTACCAGTTGGTGCAAACGGAGATGTCTTCCCGTCTTCAGGAAGTGCTCGTCAGTTAGTAGAACGTTGGAATAAAATGCCCCATGAAAATAAGGTGAGCTTTTGTGGACTTAGGTTTATTTATTATTATCATTAATGCTTGTGTGCTTCAATTATTAAATGTTGATTTCAAGGTAAAACTTCTCCTTAACTATACAGCCACAGGAAATCAAAGAACACTGAAAAGTTAGGTTATTTTAGTTTAAAACTAGACAGGGTCGAACAGCTGACCATAAAGTCTTGCTACTAGCACTTTAAGTGTTGATATATATGAATGGTCTGAATCCTCGAATCTCTTTTTTACTTTCCGGATATTGTTGTATCTCTGGGTTGACAATCTGAGTTTCCTGTTGGGTCCTGTAATCTACGAACTGACTAGAATGTTCAGCGCTGGTCCTAACTAGTATTACTATGTTCGAGTCGGTGCTACAGCCAACAACGTTATACTACCTGATTTAAACAGAAGACAAAGTTAGCACCACACAATGGGTGGTTGTACATAGCAAGACAATATATTGCAAATGTGGAAGGCCTTAAAAACGTAGGCGGCTCAATCCGAATGTCAATGAACGAGAACAGAGATACGTGAAGGACGTTCTCAATTGACTAGTTGTTTCTCTCACTTTTTCTGGTAACGGATACAATACTGACTTTCCTCTGAAGGATTGTTTATTTCCCTTCGAACTATTTCAGTACTTCTAGTAACAAATGTATTTGTCATGACTATTTGTTGATATACTTGTCATTCTCCGTTGTTATACAAGAACAAGCACTAATCACTATAAACGGGAGAAACCTCAAGGAAATTGTCTCTTTCACCTACCTAGGCAGCATCGTTTCAACTACAGGCGGTGGGACAAATGACGATGTCAAAGCCATGATCGGAAAGACAGCGAGACAGGCTTCATCATTCTGAAATCAGTGTGGAGATCTTTCGCACTCAGCACAAAGAACAAGATCCGGATTTTCAACACCGACGTCAAGTCAGTGCTTCTATATGGCTGAGAGACTTGGGTGCGCGTTACGAAAAGTATTTCCAACAAACTACAGACATTCATCAACAGCTGCCTACGTTGGCTCGATACTGAAGATCAGATGGATGGCCAGAATAAGAAGAATAAGCAACAAGGAGCTCTGGCTACCTGGCAGCGAACCAACCAAAAACTCATCGCCCAACAAATATGCAGAAGAAGGAAGTGGAGATGGATTGGATTAGGCATACACTGAGAAGGCCGATTGGGGACCTCACGCGTTAGGCCAGACCCTCGAGTGGGACTCAAATGGGAAACGAGGAGTTGGGTGTGCAAGGTGAGGTTGACATGTAGGAGATGATGTGAGGAAGAAATGAAAGGTTGTGGGCAGTGGTGGAGCCAGGTTGGGAAGACTGGAGAGAAGAGAGGAAATGGCGACGTATTACTGAAGCTCTATGTTCTACTAGAAACTCAAGGGACAAATAATAGATGGTAATAATAGTAATACTGGATCGAATATTTTGGCCACTGTTGGCATATGAGCTCCTATGTGCATGCCTCGATATTGCCTAAATATCTACTGTGGTAATTTACTTGGTTGTGGCTAGCAGAGGGTTTCAGGATGCTCGTTTCGTCCTACTTGGGACTCGTCAGCTGGCCATCGTGCCTTAGTGGCCTAGTGGATTACGCTTTGACGTTTGAGGCGATGAGTACGAGGCTCGAGTCTCAGTGGGAACAACATCACTCACCGAGGTGCAGGTACATCCAGATAACAAGTCCCAGGTGGGACGAAACGCGTGTCCTAGAACCCTCTGTCAGCCAAAACCAAGTAAATTACCAAAATGTGTTTGTTATTCTTATTATTCTATTTTGAATGCTATGCTTTAAGAGTTTTCATTAAAGAGCTTCTTTGTAAGCCTGTCAGGGATTAAAACTACAGTCAAGTGGTCTTGTTTGGACATGCTATTCATCGGGACACAACATCCACGTTCGTATCCATTTAAGAAAAATATTTATTTGATTCATAACATTGTATATTTAGGCACGACTGAAAACCAGACAACTCAAATCAAACAGTTATTTCCATAAATTGAAATGAAATGTAAATGCGACTATTTACTTGAACCTCAGTTCTACTAGTCTATTATGTATTGGAAGATAAGCATGGAATTTGAGCACTGTGGTACTGTGTAACTCCAAATTAAATACGTTTATTCGATATAGCCCACAGTAATACAGCATACTTTATTCTGTGACATTTTTAGTACAATTTTATTGCTCAAAATCATATCAAAGTATTCACATGATTTCCAATGTCTTGCTTTTATAGTCGTGTCACATTTAAATTACATAATTACAATGTGAATCGGGTTCTCCACATTCAGTAAATGCAGTAGAGATGACGCAACACCCATTCCATATGTTGAAGGGACGAAAATATTAGCAAAAACATACTTCTAAATCATATAATTTCACCATGACAACTATAACATATATATAAAGTGGTTACGAAGATTTGAAGTGGCACTTATGTGTACAAGTGTCTGATTTTATGATTTACAAGTTGCATAACAAATTTTTCTACAAATGTCTCAATATTTAATGAATAAAAGGATTAACAGATTAAGAAAATCGCTAGGTAATTTCAAACCAGGAAGTAAATCTTGGCGTCTGAAAATGTTGTGAATATTAGGTTCAAGTGAAAGTTAGAAAATGTGAAATAATTTTGAGGATTATAACAAGACAAAAGTTCAGTAATCATAATTTCATCTGGGACTGAATTATATGACATTGAATCTCTTGGAGGGCAATGGAAGGAATAATAGAAATGTGGTGTGCTAGCTTTCTCTGTACACGAGGTTTCCTGTTTCACCCAAATGATAACAATAACTTTAGTAACTTATAGGCGACGAATTCTTACCATTTGCAATGCATAGTGTTTTGTAGATTATTGAAGGAGCAAATTTTTATCCTGTGTACCACTGGTATCGAATATGTGTGTTTGTATACTCCGTAGTACATTGCAGTATAGAATTTAAAATGGTCTCAAGATGATTTACTCCATTGAATTTATCAATGCACACTTGTTTAGGCCTATAAGGAGTTCTGTCTTTCAGTCTTGATGGGAAGATACATTCAGTTGTGGCTACTAGGAAAATTTTTCTCAGTGGGGGTTATTGTCTACTAGTGAGGATTTATGAAATGGCAATCAGCTCTCTACCTCAACTTCATCGACTTTGAGAAGGCCTTTGACAGCGTCGACCGAGAAGTAATTTGGAAACTGCTTCAATACTACGGAGTACCGCAAACCTTTATCAGCCTCATTCAACAACTATATGAAGATGCCACATGCCAAGTAATTCACAATGGACAGCTCAGTGATGCTTTTGAAGTGAAGACAGGAGTGAAACAAGGTTGCCTACTATCCCCCATGATATTCCTTATTGTGGTGGACTGGATCATGCAGCAAACAGTAGGCAGCGAGAAGAGGGGGATACACTGGACGACGGAAAAGAACCTAGAAGACTTGGATTTCGCCGATGACTTATGCCTAATGTCACATAAACTTGAAGATCTGCAGGCAAAAACTAACAAGTTGATAGAAGAGGCAGCGAAGACGGGACTTCAGGTGAATATAGAGAAGACAGAAGTGATGAAGATACCGCACCACCACCATCAACAACAACAACAAACTCCAATCACCATGAACGGGAGAAACTTGAAGGAAGTAACCTCCTTCACTTATCTAGGAAGCACTGTTTCAACTACGGGCGGGACAGACGAGGACGTCAAAGTCAGAATCGGAAAAGCAAGACAGGCGTTCATTAGCCTGAAACCAGTGTGGAGATCTTCTGCACTCAGCATGCGGAGCAAGATACGGATTTTCAACACCAACGTCAAGTCAGTGCTCCTGTATGGTTCAGAGACTTGGCGCGTCACGAAAGGCATTTCCAATAAACTACAGACATTCATCAACAACTGCTTACGCTCGCTGCTGAAGATCAGATGGCCAGAAAGAATAAGCAACAAGGAGTTCTGGGAACGAACCAACCAAGAACCTATCACGCAACAAATATGCAGGAGGAAGTGGAGATGGATTGGCCATGCACTGAGAAGGCCGACTGAGGACATCACGTGTCAGGCCAGTTGCTCGAGTGGAATCCCCATGGGAAGCGACGAGTTGAGCGTCCAAGGTGAGGGTGACATGGAGGAGATCGTGCGAGGAGGAAATGAGAGGTTGTGAGCTGTCATGGGACCAGGTTCAAAAGATCTCAGAGAACAGAGGTCACTGGAGGCGTGCTACTGAAGCCCTATGTTCCACTAGGAACCCAAGGGACTAATAATAATAATAAAAGTGAGGATTTATGTAAGATCATTTATCTTTAGTTGAAGGTTTAGAAAACTTTTCTTTATCTTACTAGTGAAACTAGATGATTTGTTCATTCTTCTGTCTAGATTCTTGTTCGTTAAGCTTTATATATATATATATATATATATATATATATATATATATATATATATATATATATATATATATATACTTTTTAGAGATACGCTTTTGTGTTAATGTACCTCTTCTTTGACTGTTATTTCTGAACATATACTGCTTGTTCTGTTCACTAAACATATCGTTAAATTTTTGTTCTGCAACGCACGAAGGAAAATGTGGCAGTATTGATAATCTCCTCTGCAAAATGGTTTTGAGTATACACTTTGAATAAACACTCCTTCTTATAACCTTGTAAGAAAGACATCTAAGAAAAGGATCTTACTTAAATTTCCTACTTAATGTGTTCTCTTCTGAAATCTCTGAACTGGTCATCTACATTAATTTTGCAATCACACAAAATAAAAATGTTAGGTTGAAATTCATCATGGACTGACATCAGTTGGAGGAACATTGAGAACCTTGGACCACGGAACAGCTGTTTCGTCCTAGTATGGGACTCCCCAGCAGCGCGCACCCATGTATCCTCCAGGGAAATGTGGACGACTGGATTCCGACTTAGCGGCTTAGTAGTAACGTGCTGGTCATTGAACCTGGAGGTCCTTGGTTCGATCCCTGTCCGGCGGGGTCATGGGTGCACACTACTGAGGAGTCCCATACTAGGATGAAACAGCTGTCCAGTGCTACCAGATTCCCGATGTTCCTCCAACTGATGTTAGTCCAAGATGAATTCCAACTTAAAATAGATTGATAAACCTCCAGATAAAAGTGTTATTTGTTTAGTACCTATACGTATCAAGCGGGCTTGTGTGAGTCTTTAGAACATTGTTTTCTATCTGCAACACCAGTGGGTCCAGGAAGAGAGACAATTGGTACTCCATCCTTTAGTCTATCCAAAAGACTATTCAAACCCAACTGGAAATTTATTATTCGTCTCAGTATGAGTTCTTTTATCTGACCAGTTGACAGCATTGCCATCGGCTAGAGTGGCTTCTCACTACTCATATCAACCGATAGTATACGACATGGAATTCTTCTGCTGACTTCGTAGCTGCCATCCTTGGTACCAAGCAGAACACAATTTATGGCCTGGAAGCTTTGGTTTCCAAGGAAACCACCATAATTCAACTTAACTTCATTGTTTCATTCTCATTACGAACTAAAAAACTAGCAGATACTTGCTTAGATTTAAGTGTAAGACTTTGTCTGGATTAGTTAAATGAGAAGTCAACAGCAATGTAAACCTGTGAATAAATTAAGAAGAGCGACAATAAAATGAATATTGAATCTACCTAGGAAATTATCCATTTTGAGTCAATAGCATTTGTTTAGTCATTGGGTACTTCCTTAAAAATAACTGCGGTATAAGTATTTTGTCTACATGATTCCGGCTATAGTAGCGAAATAATTTTATCCTACAAGAATGATTTTATCGATGCTGTGTTATTTGATACAGGTTATTTAATTTTGAAACCTTCTTTATCATTCCTAGACAGTGTCATCAGCAAAACACTTCAGAAGTCTTAGGTAACCATGGGTTTTTACCAAAAGTGGTATAGTAGTTTTTCTTAGTGATGTAGGACGTGACGTCTTCTTCTGTAGGTGTATTCACGTTGCTTATACGAGCGTTTAGTTTCACTGACCTAATATTTGCTCTTACCAGTGCAGAGAAATTATCATCATTATAGAATGAGTGATATCGAATAATCATGTTTATAATGGATGGTTTATCCCCATTTAATTCTATTGTCTTCTTAAACTGAAATTTCACCACTATCGTGTTAGTCGATGATTGTCTTTCGGTAGTTATTCAGAACTAGCCCTTATATAATCTGACCTTCATTGAATAAGTATATTAGATACCACCGAGTTCCTCATAACAGTGACAATGGCATAGGTGAAATTAATGTCAGTCAATTTAGACCATTTTCTTAGTTCGCTGACTGGTGTGCTGTTTCACAGTGAAGACCAGTAGTCCTCCGTTCTGGCATGTGGTCTGAAACAGCTGCATTTGATTACCACAAAGATGTTCATCAGTTATTTTTGATTTTTAGTGATTGTTCTATCCACACTACCCAGTGATGTCAAGTGCAATTAGGCGATCGGCCACTAACTGATCCTATAATGTTAATCCGTGCTCAGAACTACTCCGAAACCAATCAATCCTCATCAACCACTAGTTGAAACATTTAATATATCATTTGCTATTTCTATGCTCATTTGTTGATGAATGAAATCTACTGTACAAGTGCAGTTAGTTGGAGAAATTGTTCATCCCAGCGAAATGAAAGAATAAAAAATAAGTTGACCACATTTATTTCTTGATTTCAGTAGGGTTTTAGCTACTCACGCCAATTGAGTAGTACGTTTTATAAGTCTAATATTTTGCGTTAGAGATTAAATGGCAACTGACTCCAACTTAGTGTTGAAAATGTACTACTCAACAAAATGATTAATAAGAAACCACTCACGCTAACCAGCAGATTTTGTTAGTCAGTTCTGAGTGTAAATACTGTAAAGCCATCTCACTCATTTGGAACTGAGGTCTTCAGTGGTGTTTACTCACCTTGTAATCTCGTTTCGGTGGTTCCCAATAGGAACTGTGCTACTACTATAACTCAGCAGTTGAAAAACTAATCAGCTATAATAACTGATAATATGAATCGTGTAGTTTATAAATACTTTACAAGACAAGTATAAAAACGGATAATGTTTGTTTGACTTAATTTCAAAATTGTTTTTTTTCCAAATTCTACTCTAGTTAGGGGGTCGAGCCTCTCCTGAACTAAATGGAAAGTTTCATGGTGCAAACTCGCATAAATTACCCATTGTTGAACGTGAGTTGTTGAATATATGAATAGAATTGCTTAATCTGTCCCAACATTCTTTTGTTTTCAAATTCAGGAAGAGACAGTTTATAAACGTTTTTTGATGCAAGAAAAGAGCCCTGTAGTAAACCTATGTATTAAGTTTATTCGACACAGAACACAGTGGAACAGTATCATTTACTAAATTGTGTTTTGGAGCATAATTTATATTTCATAATCATATCTTGTTAACCACGCAAATCTTTCTGGCTTTTTTCCCACAGTTAGTGCTGTTACTTTTTATTCTTTGTTATGGTTTAATGGTAGTTAAATTTTTCTGTATATTTGAGATAGAAGGTGAATTAAGCCTACTATACATGTTGCATACTGATTCGTTAAACAAGGGATTCAGTGATCTCAACCTCTTCCTCCATCTTTAGACTTGTTACTTTATCCCACCATATTATGTGATTATATTTCAATACGTGTGTAGATTAGATGAATTTACTTGTTGTAGCACACAGTAATATGGTGTTAGTTGCCATTTTGAACACAACTTATGTCTAGTAATGATAGTCAAGTGTCTGGATCGCATATCTCAATGGGGTGCTCCCTCTTATATTTAGCTAGTTTTCTGGAATCTGTTAATCTGACGAACTCCGATCATCTGGCTTAACCTACGTGTGTTACCTCACAATCATTGCATGGTTGCTGCCAAATTATATTGTTAGATCTGACTAGGTCAATTGAATCCCTGCACTAAAACAGTCAGTTCTTTAGTGAATTCATCAGTTTCAGTGCCACTCTAACCTCCAACCTTACTTCAATACCTATGCAGAGTTTCTGATGTCTCTTGACTTACGGTGGTGGCTTCGAATTCCCCATTAAGTTATCTTCTTACAGTTGTTCATAGTGCTAATTCTTTTCTAAAGAGTTTCTATGAGTTTATGAGTGAAGCTTCGACGATGGTAAGTGATTAGGTTTTCAAAGTTACTAGTCAAACTCCTAGCTTGGATAATTTAATACTTAACTAAGCCTGGATTTACTGAAGTGGGATTGATTGACCTAAAAATTTAGGTATCAGTTTGAATGCGATGATCCTCTTTGTAAACGTCAGTATCTGAACCGCTGTCTTATTGTTTTTCAGTCCAACATTACGAATTTTCTTTGTTAATTTCCTAACTTTGAAAGAGATTTAAATCCTACCGGCATGCATATATACTTCAATAAACTATGCTTATGTTCTGATTTCAACACGGTGTATGTATCATCTACATTTCTCCACTTTATCTTGGAGGTAGGATTAATTGGTGTAAGAACCATTCACCCCCCCCCCTCATCCTTAAATATGTCGTCTGCTTATAAAAATATTTGTGATCCTACTACCTGCTCTTTCAGTTTATTGAAGCAACTGAAACGCTGGCAGTTGGTACCTTAGTTCTAAGAACGAGTTCACGACCAGTGTGCAATTAACTTCTCACTACTTTCAGAGTTATATTGGTTGGTACAGTGGTATTCAGCAGTATTTATGACCAGTTTACGTTATTTCACTAAAGTCAGTTACTACGTCCAAACAAGTTTGTATGAGATGTAGAAACGTGTAGGCACTACCATAAATAATAACAAGAAAATTACAGGTGATGTAGACTACCGAATTAATACATTTCTGAGTAAGTCAGAAAAGTCCTATTTAATATGGGAAACGGAATGACGTTGACTGGAATCTTGGAAATCAGTATAGCTAAAATTTATGCAATTACTAATAGAATGACTGAGTTTACTGATTGAATACAGCTCGTAGCTATGAATAACTTCTAACATTCTACTTTCCCAGGATCACTTGTATACAATCTATGCAATCGAAGTTGCTTATTAAGATTAGATAGCTTTTGAGAACACACGTTTTCGATACACCTAATCAAGATTTGCTTCTAATGCTCTTATGATTTGATATTTCTTCACTGTATCCTGACAGGCTTCCTTCATATATATGAAAAATTCCATTTGTGTATGGGATTTGTAATATTTCACTCATATTCTTTTCCTTATCACATCTTTCCTTTGAAGGAATCGCACTATTAATCATTATCTTTACACTGATGTGTATACATGCTTGCAGAATTTCATTCCTAGTTGTGAATATTAGTATCTGAATTCCAAGTTCAATTTTGTGAGAACCACTTCCCAGTATAAATTTACAGTAAAACTCTGAAGCTACTCACAAGTAGTTAAACATTAAAGATGTAGAATATCTCATGGCTTGTGATCCTCAATCCCGAAAAGTTGATTTCTCGAGTAGTTTTGAGCAACCTATTTAGCATGTTTATGCAGGAAATTCACCTTCTCATTCATACTCTAAACTACTATCTGTATTTTTGACTTTCATAGCTGTTTAAAACTTGCTATAAGATTGTGTAGTTTCGAAACGTCATTTGTTTTGAGCTACTGTCACTGGACGACTTGACTCAGATTTCTGTAGACCTACTTTTTATATAGTTTCCTCCACTCATCAAAAATGAAAACAACTTTTATGAAAACAGATTTTTTCAAATCTGCGTTGTAAAATAGTTATATTTTAGACACGTTATTGAATTGAATATCTGTTGTTTTAGGCTTAAACAAAGTTTAATCTTTGCATATTTGCATTGTTTAAATTTCAGTTTTAGTGGTGTTAGTAATCCTGCTTTAACTTTCGCTCTAGATAAGTGTACAGTCGTCTCAACAAGAGAGCGGATATTTGCATATAATAAATAAATTGTAGCTAACAATGTCTGTTACTGTAGTGAAGTGGGAGGTTGTTTGCCTAGCACAATGGGCAGACAGATCAAGATAGGAAGCCATGAAAATATGCAGCAGTCCAAGTTACCAAACCTTAACAAAGCAAAAAGCATGTACTGAGTGCAGATGAAAAAGTGTTAAAATAGGAAACATATCTAGTGCAAGGAACCATCAAAATCAAGTTGAAAGCCTTCAAAGAAGTCGGTGATAGACCACAGTTGAAGTTCACCCAGAATGGAAACTACAAAGGGCACCTCCACATCGTCAGTCATCAAGAAAAAATGGGAGATATCGAGCAACATCCCTGAAGAAAACTGTGTGGAAGAACACTGGAGCTCTTTGAAAGATATGTGGAAGGAAACCTGAATAACCGTATTAGGAAGGAAAATGAAGAGGCAAGACATTGAATGGATCTCGACGGACACATGGAAACTGATAGAGGACGGAGAGGAAGATGGGGAAGCAGAACATGGACCAGTGCAATGCAGTGCATGGATGAACAACGAAAAGGGGAACAGTGCAAACTATAAAACACTTCACTGGACAAAGAAGTGAAGAAGAGTGCGCGCAAAGACAAAAGACACTTCTACTACACACTGGCAAGTGCAGCAGAACAGGCTGCAGGTAGGAGAGACCTGACAACATTGTATCAAATAACCAGGTTACTTACTATCTGGGAAGAGATCAACGCAGATGAAACCAATGACAGATAGTGAAGGAAATCTAATTACGAAAGAAGAGAAACAAAGGAAACTATAGGCTGACTACTTCAAAACACTCTTGAATCGACCACCACCTGCACTTCGTCCAGAAATACCACCTGCAGACATAAAACTACAAGTGAACACAAGCCCTCCGACAACAGCAGAAATGAAGTCCTGAAAGCCATAAAGTTGCTGAAATGTGGGAAAGCAGCAGGACCAGATGGAATTCTTTCAGAAGCACTGAGAACAGACGCAGAGACAACAGCGGACACGCTCACACCACTATTGCAGTAGGTTAGGAAAGAAGGAAGAAAAGGTACTTGTCCATTAATCGGGAGAAGGACTACTTTGTCAAACTTCCAAAGAAGGGAGACCTAGGTCTTTGCATGGACTGTCACGGAATCGTGCTGTGGTCCATCCAAAGAGAGCAAAATATTATGCCGCATCATCCTGGAGAGACTAGAGGATGCGCTGGATTCAAAATTACGACCGGAACAGGCTGGCTGGCTGGCTGGGCTTTAGGAAGTATAAATCATGTGCAGACTGAATTGCAACACTACACTACATATCATCATAGAACAGAGTGTAGAATGGCAGTCAACTAGATCTTAACCTCAACTTCATCGACTTTGAAAAGGTCTTCGATAGCATCGACAGAGAAGTAATTTGACAGTTGCTTCGACACTACGGTTTTAGTGCCACAAACCTTTATCAACCTCATTCAACAGCATCTATATGCTATATGATGCCACATGCGAAGTGATTGACAATGGGAAGCTCAGTGACGCCTTTGAAGTGAAGTGAAGTGAAGTGAAGACAGGAGTGAGACAAGACAAGGTTGCTGCCTACTATCACCTATGATCTTCCTGATTGTGGTGGACTGGACTGGATCATGCAACGGATTGTGAGGAGCTGTGAGAAGATGGGTATACACTTGCTGGACCGATGAAAAGAGCGTAGAAGATTTGGATTTTGGTGATGATGAGGATGATGATGATGATTTATGTCAAATGTCTTGTGGCACAAACTTGAAGATCTACAGGTGGAAACGAACAAGTTGACAGGAGAGGTGAGGCAGCGAAGATGGGACTTCGGGTGGATATAGAGAAGACAGATGTGATGAAGATACCTAACCAATAAGAACAACAAGCACCAATCAGCATTAACGGGATAGACCTAAGGGAAGTTGTCTGTTTCAGCTACGTAGGCAGGGCAACATCGTTTCAACTACAGGTGGCGACACAGATGAGAACGTCAAGGCGAAGATCGTAAAAAGAAGACAGGGTTTCATTAGTCTGCAATCAGTGTAGAGAACTACTGCACTCAGCCTAAAGAACAAGATCCGGATTTACAACATTAGTGTCAGTCGAGTCAGTGCTTCCACATGGTTGGGAAACGTGGCGCGTCACGAAAGGGATTTCCAACAATCTGTAGGCATTCATCAACAGCTGCCTACATTGGTTCGTTACTACAGATCAAATGGCCAGAATAGTAAGAATGAGCAAGAAGTAACTGTGGGAACCAAGCAACCAAGAACCTATCACTGAACAAATATGGAGAAGAAGTAAGTGGAGATGGATTGGATTGGGCATACACTGAGAAGGCCGACTGTAGAGATCACGCGTTAGGCCAGGCCGTCGAGTGGAATCGAAAGGGGAAACGATGAGTTGTGCGTCGAAGGCGAGGGTGACATGTTGTAGATGATGTGATGAAGAAATGAAGGTTGTGGGTATTGGTGGATCGAGGTTGGAAAGACTGGAGAGAACAGAGTACAATGGCGACGTGCCACTAGGAACCAAGGGGCAAATAATAATAGGAAAGAATGGGAATAAAAGCGAACAAATGAGTAGAGTATAGTGGAGAATACCGAATTTTGAGGCGTGATGACAGCTATGCATTTTTGTGATTTTTGCTAAATTGACGGGTTTCCAAGAGTTGGTACCTGAGAGAACTAACTAGATTACTCAACAGAGGTAACTTATTCACTTCCCTTCACCTCTCAAACCAACAGTTATCGGATAGATGCATTTTTGTTGAGGTTTGGTTCATAATAGAATGATGTAAACTAAGTCATAGATAATGCTGCAATGTGATAAAAGGGGGCGTATCTGCAGATAATTACGCGTTCCTTCGAACTCCTGCTGTCTACCTACTCAGGATTTAAGATCTAGAGTTTACGCTTAGAGTTATACTTTGTACTGAGACATTTTGACAACTGAAGCTCCAACTTCAACAAAAAAACAAGAATCTGTTGGAATATATTATTATTTTCTGAAAGTTGCACCAAGAAATACCATGAAGATAATTATTTTTAATCTTTATCTTGAAATTCTTAGTCTTAATACCGTCAAACATGTACTGTTTAAGCATACTGTCAGAATCGTACAATAAAGACTTATAACTGACTATGCACTTCTTCTTCTTCTTTGGGATTTTGAGATTTATTAGTGTTTGGTTTACAGAGCTGATACAAATATTGGATATTGATGCTGTAAAGTTTCTCTGTGAATAACTGTTGTTCACTTTTTAGTCAGGTTTGCATCTATATAAATCTGAGTCATACCAAAAACTAAAAATACAAGTATATGCCAGCCTATCTGACTTTAATGCATAGAAGTGTGCTATATATTTGTTTGTGAATTCTTTATTTTCACTGTTATTGTCTTTGATTTTACTTATTAGTTATAAGTAGCTTATGCACCTTTTTGGGAGTTTCATACATCATACTACTTTCCATTAGAGCGTTAACAACTACAAACATTGAAACTTATTGGTTTGAAGATAATTTATACAGTACAATTATATTGTTATTTTGTTTATTAGCTAAGCCAATAATGAGAAAATTGATAGAACAACCAAGGCCACTAGTTAATGAATTAAAGCAAAATTTCAATCATAAACCTGAAGATGAAGCATAGTAAGTTGTAATTTGTTAGAGATGTTTTTAAAAATGTATCATTTCATGTAGATATTGGCGTATGCTTTCTGGACACCATTTTATAGTGTCTTAAAAGACTACTGTTCACGAAATGGATAGTTTGATGGAAATATTCTTTCTTATATTCTGTTTGTTAAGATGTGTTCCCTGGCGCTATCGTAAATCCTTATGGCTTGTGTATAGAATATATTTTCGCGTTTTGTCAAGAGTGGACTGTCATTTGATTCGTGGGCATCATTAAATGTTATTTCTCTTCATGTTTGATTTTTGATAGGTGAACTGATACATTTCATTGAAATGTATGATCATACTGATTGGTCAGTTATCATTGTGAGTGTATATATATATATATATATATATATATATATATATATATATATATATATATATATACCTGAGTTTAAACTTTTTTCTAAGAAATTAGAAATCGAAGCGACCAATCACTTCTTCAACAAAATAACCAAAAGCCTTAGTTACGCGTAAAATCCAAAACACAAGATTTATGTGCAGTATGGATCTGTATTAATAAACAACAATGACTAATGGACTACAAATCTTGAGTCTTGAGGTATTTATGGATTTATCGCCATCAAACTTACCTTATAGGAAGTAAGTACATCAACAACATGAACAGAGAGGCTGGATTCAGTGCAAGCCAAAAGAAAATACGGAAAATGGGCAGATTCATAGGATAAGATAAAGGACATAAGATGTTCAAGATAAGATGGAGAATCGGAGAAACAGTTATATAAAGCCTAACGCAATCATGAAATGGGAAAGATACCGATTAATATCTAAGAATGTTAAAATGATGGACAAAATTCGATTGTAGCTGACGAACTAATATAATCAACAGTAATAAGTAGTTTAAAACTCAAGGCATACAAAGATAAAGAGATACCATCAGATACAGTATATGAGATAGCTGTTTTATCAAGGATTTATTTGTTTTTATATCTGGGTTGATTGCTGTAATCTTGTTTTTATCAGAATACCGATTGATTGATCATTATTCATTTGTTGCTGTATAAGATTTTTATCACAGAACACTTGCTTAAGAAAACTTTCAATTACAAAATTTGTTTTGTTATCTGTTCCATAATCACTACTCACTAGTTATACTTCTCCGTTTAAGTCATATGTTGTTTATAAGCTGGTGTACAATCTTTTAGTCTGTTTATTATTTACTTGAGAAAAATTATACTACCCGCTCATTTCGTTTTTGTAGTGTCTCATCCATAGAACTAAATTTTCAAATTTTTGTCCAACTGTAGCAAAGTGTAACAGAAAACGTAGATTATTTGTAATGCTCATTATAGAATGAAGCTGCCTAATGGGTTTGTTAAAAATCCCTAAAAAATCTTGTTTAACTACTCATGGATGAAAATATCCTTAGGAAACTAAGTCACTTTTTTATTCTTTTAGGCGGTGCACTAATCTAATTTTACCGATAACAAGTACACTTACGGTTATTAGTCATACTCTTCTATTTACCGGTAAAAAATTCAACATATTTTATAGTAGGTTTCATTGTGTCAATATATTTCAGAGTAAAGTAAATAATACTTTATAATTCAAAACTCTCTGCAACGATTTGTGCTCATCAGAGATGTTTATTTTATAACATTCCCATCTAGAACCCAGATGGGAAGCGATGAGTTAGGCGTCCGAGGGTGACATGTAGAAGATCGTGCGAGGAGGAAATGAGAGCTTGTGGGCTGTCGTGGAACCAGGTTCAAAAGATTTCAGAGAACACAGTTCACTGTAGACGTGCTACTGAAGCCCTATGTTCCATTAGGAACCCAAGCGATGAATAATAATAATAAATAATGACTCTGGCATTGATAGTTTACTTACATGGAACACTTTCAACCACCAACGTCTTCCATACTATTTTTCGATATAGGATTTATGTAATCAACTTCGATGATATATAAACACAATATTGTTGGCTTTTGAAAAAATGTTAGCTAACCTAATTCAATTTTTTGATTAGAATTTCAGAAGTTATCTGATCTATGTTTTGAACGCATTGCATACAGATTATAGTTACTGATCTGTTTTACAACACACTTAATCTGATTATAAGAATTAAAGCTGTTCATATTGTCTGAATGATTGTGTTGGCCTTAATGATTGGGTGGGACTTTACTACGATTGCCTCCCAGTCGGTCGGTAAGCCTCTTCACAAAATTAGTCCATTTAAAGAAGAGTGAACACAGACATTTGACCAATCAATTTTCAAACGCGAAGGAGATTTATTAACAGTTGAATTACATGAGATTTTTAGAAGTGATGAATTAACAATCTGAAGCATATATTATTGTACTATCCAGTCAGCTTATACACACATTGATGTTGCCAGTTCGTACAATGTTTCCGACTTTTTAACTACCCAGTGTAAGTTGATTCTGACTTTTTCCGTTCTTGGTTGCAGGTGTGATTGCAAACTACTGCTATAGAATGAACAAGCGAAATGAAACACATTCAGTCATTCTTTGCATATTCTATAGTAGGGAATGACTCATACCTGTTTTGTATGTGGGCTACTGATACTACTTGGCTGCCCAAACTTCGGTAGGTGGAGCAAGGTTTAAACCGTGACCCACTAGTTGGTAGTCATCCCTCGAAAACCACTGAGCTGCAGCTCCATAGTGGTATAGAAGTGAGATGCTATCAAATGAATTGAACCCTACGTGAACTAGTTATCAAATGGTAACCAAAGTGGCTACCTAGTCCACAGTGGTTATCAAAATCTATTCACCAAGTCTATGGTATGGTTACTAAGCCGAGTGACATGAAACTACGGAGCACTGTGATTAGTGCAGATGTCTAGAGTGAACGATCAGGAGACCTAGGACGGAGGGATTAAATGCTTAACATCAGCACTAAGTGCCATAGATTGAAGTCTTCAACGAAACATGTGTTACAAAAAGATTTCAGATGTCTTTCTAATAAACAGATATATGAGAATACCAACAAATATGAAACCAAACCATAGATCAAGCTGAGGTTTCGTCCAATTGATTCTAAATATCTTAAACTGAATGTAACTTATATATTTCTGTACAACTGATATCTTTTTTCAAATCTTTCCCGTGTTCTTTACCCCGACAGTTGTTCTTCTGAGTCGACTGAAAGTGGCAAAGCATCTGCTTATCATAAAAGAGATGGTAAGCAAAATGAATTTCCAGCTCCAGGGATTACACGACATCTGGTGGCTAAATTTTCTTCTCTCTCAGCTGCATCATAATTTCTTTATTTCGATTCCAAATTTCGAAGAGATTGAAAATGAAAAATGATAAAGAGTGGACAGAAAACAAAATATACACTCTAATGAATAGTTTTCACAGTCTGTAAGCTTGAAATGTGTTGCTAGTGTGTTACTGTTATGCTTTTTCTGTTAATTCAAATTCTCAGAATAATCATAATCGTTGTTGCTTATTGCTTACTATTTTATTTGTTGATTCTAAGCCATTTAATCTTTTTTTTTGAAGGATTCACCTTATAATTCTCTTTTTTATGCGTTTACCGTTCAAATTCGTTTATTTACTTCTAAATTACTATTAGTCTATTATTGTAGTGAGTTCAGATTCTTGCCTATACTAACTGCTCTGTCTCATTGTCCATGTCATTCATATGCACTACTATAAAAAAAGAAGATATATGTACCATTGATTCTTGTTATCCATATTCCTTGATATTGTTGAATTGTGAACTATTCATAGTTTACAGTATCTTCATACTCGTTGACATGTTCATCGTATCATTTTCTGTATTCTCGCAACATTTTGTTTTACTATACAACTAAACATTGAATTTTGTTTCATTCTCTTCTTTTGTGCTTATTTATCCATTCATTTGTACTCATTTTTATTTCTTAGGCTAACAGAAATAAAATGAATTGTGATTTCGACTTGGTAATTTTTTTAATTCTTACACATAATGTTCGATGTTTTTGCTGTGTCTGTGGTATATGTATGGAGGGTTAAGACCACTTCAGTTGACTTTTCCTTGAAGCTGGCTACAGCAGAACGTGGCTATCATGAACTATACAGAGTTGTGTCATACGAAATGCGGCTTAACTCATTACAAATGAAGTGGTTGTAAAGAGGTGAGATAAAAAACATAAGGAAGTGAACTAAATGCTTTGCATTTTCTGGTCTCCGTTGTTATACTAGATAGGATTTACTGAACTGTGTTGGTAGATGGGCTCCAATGCGGAGACCTCGGTACTGCCTGAATATTCAGAGTTATAGTTTGGTTGGTGGCTAGAGAGGGAATCCAGGACGCGCGTTTCGTCCTATTTGGGACTCTTCAGCTGAATCTGCCCCATCCCGGCAAGTGATAGTGTTCCTACCGAGACTCGAGCCCAATACCCACCGTTTCGGAGGTCGAACGATCGACCCAGTATGACAGTGGGAAATTATAGGTACCAATAAATAACAACTGATACATGTTGCGTAAAAGGTGGCTATCGTGCCTCAATGGCCTTAGTGGATAATGCTTTGACGTTTGAAGCGGTTGGTGCTGGGTTAGAGTCTCTGTAGGAAAACCACCATTCAATGGAGCTCAGGTACGTCCAGCTGACGAGTTCTGAATGGGATAAAACGTGCTTTCTGGATTCCATCGCTGGCCGCTAAGTGAACTATAAGTGATTTGTAAGTAATTTAGACACTTGCTGTTCTATTACTTTCTCCTTTTAAGACTACTAAATATTCGTTTTGATTAACGTTGATTTATTATTGCTCCTCTTATCTTTACTCCTAATAAATGATAGTTTTGTTTATAAGCGAAAATGTATCTAGAATTTTACTTAGAATCGCAATTTCATGTTCATTCACGGGTGAGCATAGAGTAGCAACATAGACTGAGTTAAATCGTTAGGAGTCAGGTTATACAACGCAAAAATGTCAGCCAGCAACTTCTGTTTTTCGCTTCTAACATTTTAAATAGTCACTCATTACTGAAATTCCTGAAAACATCTCCAAAAGTTGCTGATGATTCGCTTAGTTGACACTGGCATATTTACTACAGAGATTTGCAATAATACTGGGTCTCCTTAACATCACAGTTGACTCAGTCTAAACTGGGGAATTTATTTGACAAGCACTAGCATAGTTATAAGTCCAAAGCATGAGAATACTGCCTAGTTTAGTCTTTTATCCGACTAAGCCTTTTTTTCAGATATCAGTGATTCAAGACACTCACCATAGTGGCCACTCTTATCAAGCCCTAAAGAGGAATTCTAGTTGACTATACTTGCATACTAGGGACGAAGATCTGCTCTTCAGTATTAAGACCTTAAAAAAGTTTTAAGTTAGTTATTTGTTTTTGTAATATTGAGTTTTACACAACGATTTTCACTGGATGCGTTTACCAATTCCGTTATGTTGGTTGAAAATTCATACTGCGTAATTAGACTTCAGGTGCCGTTGCTAAGTTGTAATGTTGATGTGATTAGATTTTGCATCATTTGTCGTTTAGGTATGACGGACCAAGACATTTTGCTACTTTCATATAGAAGGTGAAAATATATGCATAAGCAACCAACATCTTGGCGATACACACTGACATTAAATTGAAACACATCCGATGGCCAAATGAGTTGGGGAAAAAAGTGTAACTGTTAAGCGCTTCAGAACACAGAAATTACATACTTCGTCGTGAAGCTCGGTAATATATCCGAAGCACGAAAACACCTTGAGGTGACATTGATTCTCACTGAAAGTGCGATGGCAGAAAATTCGAAAGATTCTAGTTGAAAGAGATCATCTACTTTGTGATGCAAACAAAAAACAAATCAGTTACAACTGAAATACAAAACCGACACCTGAAATGTCTCTAAATGTTATAAATACCCGTGACAGACATTACGATCCAATTAGAATGTTTTCATAAAATATTTATAAATCACACCAGTCAGAGAATAGGAAAAAAGTAGACGGTTTGATATGCTCAAGTAGTTTGTGAGTGCTAGTTAATGAATTCATGTATCAAATAAACATTCCAGTAAATCATAAACCTTTTTATGTAACGTTTATCCCTGCTAGTCTTTGTAGTTATACTTATCACTCCCAGAAGCTGGGAACTGATTTAAATCCAGCTACTAATATGCTCAATAAACAATATATAAAATCAAGTGTTACAGAATGTCGTTTGAAATGATTTTTGATCTTCTAACATTTCTTTGAACTACCACAAGAGAGAGAAGTTTTAGGTGAGTAACATTTTCAGGTTCCTATTCTGAAATGTGTCAACGATTTCGATATCATCTGATCAAGTCTACTCTTAATTTTTCTCCATTCAATTACATACCAGCATATACGTTTCACTTACTTTTACCATGAAAATTTTACTCAATCTTTGTCCATATATTGAGCATTTCCTGATCCAACCAAGAAATTCACAGAATATCTTGAGATACTATCGTATGCATAAGCTGAGAAACCAGTAGACATTGTCATGAAGAAAGCCAAGAAATAGGGCATGTCAACTGAAGCCATTTTGAATTGAGGTTAAATGGTTCAATTTAGTGCGTAAATCTAATAGCCCTGCGTAAAATGTTCACTGCTATTTAAATTCATAAGTCCAATATCCATCATCTGTTTAACCAGCTGTGCAAACCAGTTGATTTCTTCGTAGTCACTTCTTGGACTTGCGAAGTGGTTTCAGGTCTTCGACGGATCCAGATGCAGTAGATCCAACTACTCGTTTGCTATAGCTCTGGTATCCAGAACAGGAGGCTGAGTGTTAGTTAGTTTGCCTGTGACTATGGTGCAGTTGGGTTCCTCAGATGTCGAGTTGCCAGACAGTTGTTTGGGGTGGTCGTTAGAGAGAGTTAAGGATAGTGGAAAGATAACCTAGGAAGACGAATGTGTGTGAGTAAAAGACAAAGAAAAGTGAACTGATAGAGTAATCTACTTATGCCTGAGTAAGATGAGAGGGGTGCAAAGATATACAGAACCTAGGTAGGTGAGGCTAATCTATAGCGAGTAAGAGGGATGAAAAGGGCTTTAATGATTACAGTAGAAAGAAAACTGGTGTAGAGATAACACAGTTGGAATGGTGTAACAGCAGTTGATTTCTTCGGTCTAGTTCGTTTTCCAACTAGATGAGCGTAAGCCTTGGGCCTCTGAGTAACCATCTAGCCTTTTCTTGAGACTTTCAACAGGTGGGGCGGAGACTTACTTCTGCTGGTAATGCATTCCAGTGCCCGCAGACTTGAAGGGAGAAGAAGTGTAAATACACACTTTTGGTGGGCAACTGTCTAAGGGTTTTCACGAGGATCAGCATAGTGGCTACTGGGCAGTATTCCTCTGTTTGGGTTACTCAGTATTTTGTGAGCCGTTATCAAGTCAAATCGTAACCTTCGGTAACCAAGGGAGTATAGGCCTCGGTCTCTTAGTCTATCCTCATATGGTTTTTGGTGCATTCCGACAACACCCTTTGTGGCTCGCCTCTGAACTTTCTCCAGTAGATTCATGCCTCTTCTCAAGTGTGGTGGAGCGAAGACGTTATGGACTTCCAAGTTAGGTCGTGTGTAGGTTTTGTAGAGTTTCGAAAGAGCTCTGAGGTGAGGGCATCTAGTTTTCTGCGCACAGAATGTAGTTTACTGTATGGTTTTGGGTAATCAGATTATTTTAATCAGCGTGTCATCCACTTTAAAAGCAATTCAATATTTGAACAGCCCTAAATGTTTAGCAATAGTTATGAGTGGAAGTTAACATTATTCACATTCTAACTGACTAATTCTAATAAACTAAAACAATGATTCGGTGATATGCGATTAGTGACAAAATGGAAAATAGTTGGTTTCAACTTTAGAGTCCACGATAACAATACTCATAGGAAGTGGAGAATGGTAGAAAACTAGTTACGTTGAATTGTAATTGAAAAAAGCATGATGAAAATAGGAAAGATGATGGTGTCAAAATAAAGACATTCATAACTAAATCGATAAATTAACTTTAGGTTGTCCTATTCAGTGGCACTTTAAGCAGTCTGTACAGAGTACTGTTAAAGGAGAAAAACCAAAAGGGGATAAGCACCGAACCAGTAAATCCACACTTGCAAATAAGACATTAATGAGGAAATGTCAAACAGAGAATACTCCCGTATGGTTATACAGAACCGCATAAGATGTAACAAAAAATATTCTTATTCTTATTATTATTATTAGCGTTATATACAGGATGTATTTGGTTGTAATTTATAGATAGTTAATCAGTTAGAAACCTTGGGCCTGTGTTTCATGCTTGTTAGCAATCATCGGCAAGGTGATTCTGGAACCATAAAAAAGCTACTGTTCCCTCATTGACTCGATCCTGTGTCAGGAACTTCAGTACTCAGCTATTCAAAACACCTTTGTAAGACTGGGTTGATTATGCGAACTGATAACCAGAATTTAGACGATGTAACTGTCTGGTTCTTGGTGCTTAGTACTGGTCGATAAACTTCGATCTGTGCTTAGATGAAAATAGTTTTCATGCCTACAAACTCACCAAGAGATAAACTTTGTTGCCTAAAGAATTCTATTGAAAGTATCAGACAGGTCCCATGGATTCCATTCAGTAACTCTTGTGATAAACAAAAGTCAGACTAACTGGTTGGAGTCAACTAGGGTTAGCACAGAATGGAAGCCAAATCAAATGTAGAATTGCAGATAAGGAATCAACAAATTTGTTTTGCCACTGCTTTGTATGCTCCTACGTACACCCATGCGTTAGGATTAGACATAATGACAGTCTCATAATTAGCTTCAGGTGGGATGGGGCAGATTTATAAATCAAGGTCTCTTTGGTGACTTAGCAACAAGAACATGTAAAATAAGTGATTCTACTTTTCTATGAGATGTCTTACAAATTATAATACCTCTAAGATAGATCAGTAGAGGGATTAGAGAATATAAAGGA